CCATTTGTGTTGTTTTACTACTTACAAAGTTATTTAAAGTATAAAACATTGTTATTTACAATACACAGCAGTGGTTTTTAATCATATTTTTAGGTGGGACAACCCTCAGATGGGGATTTCCGCCTATGCATGTACCTGACCAGGTAACTCTTGAGCTGACCACTGTAGGTGATCACCAGCAGCTCTGCTGACCACTGGGCACTGGCGGTGTATTCCAAGAACATCAGACCAGCTGCTGCATAGCTAAAATCCCCTGGGAAGCTCATAGCCTGGAAAGACAGACAAACAGAAAGACATCAAAAAGATGAGGTAGAGATGGAAACAGAGTTTGAAAGTGACAAAAATATATGGAGACATACAGGTCATTACACTCTCAGACTCTGGTATATAGAGAGGGCATCTTGTGAGACTAAACTAACAGTTTCTGACAGAGAGATGGAAGAGTGTAGAGTAATGCGGGGGAGGATGAGAGCCAGCAAGAGAGAGAGAGAAAGGCCAGCGATAGACCGACTGAGACCTCACTAGCAGTGCAATCAAAAGAAACGCAGAGGGGGGATGAGGGGGAATTTGAAAATGGTAAAAGGGGCAAGAGAGCTGCCTTTCTGATAGAGAAACTACACAGAAAATGTCCTTCAAGGGCATCGGGGGCTTAGAGCTGAAGGGAACCAGAAAATGTGTTCCTTGCTTGGGCAACAGAGTGGGGAAAGGCCCCTCTCGAGAGGGTCAAGCCTACCCGGTATACAGACAGAGACAGAGAAAGAGAAAGAGAATGTGAGAAGAGCTAAGCAGCGCAAAAAGCCAGAGGGCAACGCACGCAAGCCTGAAATTTAGTCATTAGGAGCCAGTCATTACAGCTATCACTTATACTGAAACAGAAGAGAGTGTTCTTACTGTGCACCAAAAGTTACTGTACAAGGAAAGTGGAACCAATATCAACAGACTGAGTGTGAGAGAGAAAGAGAAAGAGAAAGAGAGAGAATAACTGAGGAAAGGACAGACAGAGAGAGAATGACAGGAGGTGAGAAATACAGAAGGTCAGTTTGAGTGACATACCGGTGGAATAATGAAGAGTTCGCTGCCCATCAGGTCAAAGACTCGGACCGTACCAGTGCTGTCAAGCATATGCCAACAGAGCACAGTCATGACTCCACGCTACCCTGTGCCAGTGAGTTGGGTACTGCAGAAGGAAGGAGAACATAACGTTCTGTAGTACAAAATGTATTTAGATGTGATTTGGAAACTCCTGTTTAAAGGTGTGGGGTCAGTAAGATTTTTAAATGTTTTTGAAAGAAGTCTCTTATGCTCACCAAAGCTGCACTTATTATTAGATTTTTTTTTTTTAAATGGAAAAAATGTATATATTTTAAAATGTAATTTATTCCTCTGATGGCAAATCTGAACTTTCAGCAGTCATTACTCCAGTCTTCAGTGTCACATGATCCAGAAATCATTTTAATGACTTGGTGTTCAAGAAACATTTCTGATTATTATCAATGTTGAAAATAGTTGCTTTATATTTTTGTAAAAACCGTGACACTATTTTATGGATTCATATAGTAATAGTAAGTCCAAAAAACATCCTCCACGGTCAACAGTGAGGAAAACACAGAGCGATCAGCCTTCAAACCGTTCACCGCAGTCAAACAGCACCCGATTCGGTGAGGGATGAGCCCAAGGCTTTTCGATTAAAGTTCAAAAGCCCAGTGTGATAAAATCTGTATACTTAAACACTAAAGTAACACTTAAACACCAGCTGCATGATACAACAGCTTCAGGGCCTAGCAACCGTTTCATCCCCACAGCCTCCTGCAGACTACAGACCGAGACCATCCAACTAGCGATCATCAGACAAGAGGGGGTTAATAAAGCAGACCTTTGATTAAAAACATTTTGGCTTTGGTCGCACCGCTGAGATCAGACGCACACCGCAGCGCACATCAAAGCAAGCGGTTGCCATAGCAACCTTATCATCAATCCGACCCCTGAGGTGTTGGAAACGTAAGCTGGCGATTTCTATTCACGTAGAAATGCACAGAAATATCGGGAGAGAGAGATTCAATAATTCACAATGAACGATGGCACTTAGCAAGATAAATATCGGTAGGGGAAACGCTTAAGCAGGGTCCATAAATCACCTCTCAGCTGTTAAAAGCTAATTAATCTAAGATGAACGCCGGGGCCAATATGCCTGAATTTGTGGGATGCGCGTACTGTATGCTATCTGGGCAGATTTGCACACCGTAAATCTCATTTAAATAAAAAGAGGGGAAAAAACTGTGTTTTTTTTTGAGAAAGGACCCGGTTGAGTGTGAACTCGCTATAAAAATGTCTCCCTGAGACTGAAAGCGTAAAGACCGCTGAGTCACTTTGAGCTCTCGCAACAAGAAACAAACCTGAGGGACTTGCCAATTGCATTTGGACGCAAAACAGAGCAGCCGTTCATTGTAACCAACTCATGATTTCAGTTTGGGCTGAATGCTGCTGATCTGTAATGGTTTGTGCTGGCTTGCATTCACTTATTAATTATTAACCATTTGGTGGTGACATCATATGACAGGATATGTCACGTCATCAATCACGTCATCTATTCCTCGACCAAAAAATAACTGACTCATGCTGCACTACAAAGATTTATGTTAGGGATGCATTATATATATGGGTACATTATTATTGGCTAAAAACTGATATAAATTTTGTTGTTGTTTTTTATTTTTTTTAATATCAGTCCGTATTGGACATTTAATGGATTACTACAATTAAATTACCTTTGCCATAATTTATCACCAAAGAATTAATAATTTACTAACACTGTTAAATGTAATCCTTATCACACCTTAAAAAAAAATAATAAAAAATACCTTTTTCATACTGTACATTATAATGTTATGATGCCTAAATTCACCTGTACCTTAGCAAGATAAATATCGGTAGGAGAAACACTTAAGCAGGGTCCATAAATCACCTCTCAGCTGTTAAAAGCTAATTAATCTAAGATGAACGCCGGGGCCAATATGCCTGAATTTGTGGGATGCGCGTACTGTATGCTATCTGGGCAGATTCGCACACCGTAAATCTCATTTAAATAAAAAGAGGGGAAAAAACTGTGGTTTTTTTTGAGAAAGGACCCGGTTGAGTGTGAACTCGCTATAAAAATGTCTCCCTGAGACTGAAAGCGTAAAGACCGCTGAGTCACTTTGAGCTCTCGCAACAAGAAACAAACCTGAGGGACTTGCCAATTGCATTTGGACGCAAAACAGAGCAGCCGTTCATTGTAACCAACTCATGATTTCAGTTAAAAAAAAAAATACCTTTTTCATACTGTACATTATAATGTTATGATGCCTAAATTCACCTGTACCAATTATTTTGTTAATTATTATTATTACTACTACTACTACTACTATTATTATTATTATTATGTCATTTATAAGTTTTAATATCAGCCATATACTGGTTATCAGTATTATTTATATAAATAATCTTTATATTTCGAATCGAAGTATCATTCACCCTAATGTCCTGCCTATGTGCAACTGCAAGTAGCAAATGATGGTTCAAAGACATAACTGACAGCATAAATCAGTTTTAATTTACTAGATACATATTACTGCTTATTATTTTTCTTTCTCAACTGATGCTCTAAACTCACATTTCATTCACTAAAAGAGATTCATTTACACACAGATGACCTTTTAATGAACGACTGAGAATGTACATGCACTGACTCTTATGTGCAGAGATGAGGAAAGCATTCCCATCAGGGCTAAAGCACAGAACACACATTTATCTGGTACATATAAAACATCACATTCTGCTCTTCAAGGCGAAAGAGGAAAAAATGAAAGAAAGAAGCGTGAACATAGAGCACAAAAGACTATGCAAAATTTATCAAACACATCCATTACATATACTTCACACCACTGGAAATTCCACCTTTATAGATGATATTGGCTGAATGCAGATCTCCATGAAATGAACTGAAATGAACTAAGACAGTACGAATGAAAGTGAATTGAAAGCAGACTTGCATGTCTGCAGGCCTAGTCTCTGAATGATATTGCTCATAAAATATTCAACGCAAATGTAAAGCTATAAAAATATAGAGCAGGGAAGAGAATAACAAGTAAAATAGCCTATTTAACCAAAGACTGGAAACTCAAAGTGGCAGATATCAATCTTTGAAGCAGCAATCAAAGATAGGGAGAATATATATATACACATATATATATATATATATACACACACAATTACAATATATAGCAATATGCTGTTTATAGCAATTACATTTCTATACACAATATACATCACCTAATCCATAATTCATGAACCGCTCTAATAAGGATTATAATGGTTTTAGGTTCCAATGCTGTATGCATTTTTGGATTTTTTATTTTTTTTTCTTTAAAGTAAAATTAAGCAATATTTGCTGGAAATGTCAAAATTCACAGAAACATTCTGTTTTATGTAAATAATGTTGTTAAAAATCTGGGGAAATGGCCTGGCATAACTAAAAAACTAAATGTTTACTGTACCTTGGCATAGGAAATATGATGGATCCAAAGTCATCTCTAGCTGACCTGAAAGAGCGCAAGAAGCCCATTAGAAGTGTGTTGATAAACACGTTCATATTCGCACGATTTTTTGCGCAGCGCGTCAGTGAACAACGGCTCTGTGTAGTTAATGCTGCTCAATGTGAAAGCACGCAGGTGATGGGAGATTTACCTCTGATTACAGAACCGGCTTTCTGACAAGATGCGCGTTAAATATCGCATGCGATTTATCGTGCAGCCCTAATATACACACAATTACAATATATAGCAATATGCTGTTTATAGCAATTACATTTCTATACACAATATACATCACCTAATCAATAATTCATGAACCGCTCTAATAAGGATTATAATGGTTTTAGGTTCCAATGCTGTATGCATTTTTGGATTTTTTATTTTTTTTTCTTTAAAGTAAAATTAAGCAATATTTGCTGGAAATGTCAAAATTCACAGAAACATTCTGTTTTATGTAAATAATGTTGTTAAAAATCTGGGGAAATGGCCTGGCATAACTAAAAAACTAAATGTTTACTGTACCTTGGCATAGGAAATATGATGGATCCAAAGTCATCTCTAGCTGACCTGAAAGAGCGCAAGAAGCCCATTAGAAGTGTGTTGATAAAAACACATGAGCGTTTTGAGTTCCAATCAGCCTCAGTAAGCAAATATAGGAGAATGTGGAGAAACTATAGATTTTTTTAGATTAAGCTATTTGAAGTTTAGAGGTTGTTTTCAGAACATCAGGCTGTGAATTACTTAGACCCTGAAGCGTGACACTTTCATTTCTGCGCGAGCGGATTAGCTGCTGCCAAGAGAAATAAATCATACCTACTGAAACTGAATTGTACATGAAAACACACATACAAATATTTAAAAACACATCATCTGCACCAAATCATCTGTCTCAGAAATAGCTTTGCTCAGCTGAACAGCACCTGAGACAAGAGTGTGAAAAATTAACCAATTACAGAAAGGGCAAACATTTCCAATCGATGTGCAGAATTACCTAATTCCCACGCATTGGTCCTGAACCACAGCCAGGAGCTTCCCATTACTGGAAGAAAAAATATATATACATTTAAAAAAAGGGGGAAAAGAAGACAGAATGACTGTGTAAGCAAACATGGGGCCAAAAATAAACATTTCTAAAACAGAGAATGTTGTCTTCCATCTGGAAATCAATAGCTATAATTAAAGCTTGCTGTCTCTGCTTGTTTTGCATAACTAGATACCTGGCAGGAACAAGTAGAACAGTGAAGGAAAAAATGTGTTTGATTGAGATTACATGGCTTGCATCCAAAAACAGACGTTTAATTAAATTTGGATATCTCACAAGAACCAAAACACACAAACGAATGATTTCTTGAAAATCCAAGAAAACTGTGTTGTTGCAGTTATAATGAACCTAAAACAACTCTATACACAAAAGAGTCTAAATTAGGGGGCAAAATCCAATGATTTTTGGTTCCAATGACACAGTATACACTTTAGCAATGCAGAGTCAATGAGGTGTGGATGATCAATATGCAGCAAATGCTGAAGCTTCAAGTGCAAAAGAGCTTTTCACACTGCAGATGAACCTGCCAAAACTTGCCTGGAATAGACTGACTCAAACTCTCTGAAAAGCATGTATACAGTATGTCAGATACTGGTGGTATTACCTTGCCAGCACCAACTGCCAGTTCAATTGTTTGGTTGCAAGGCGAACCAGTCCAGGTGGCAGAGTTGAACTGGAGGGGCTGAAATACAGAAAAAAAATACAGAGACTCACACAAACACTAACAGCTGAATAACTTGGTACTATGTTTCCTTGATATAGTAATGATAATGATATACACTGCCATTCAAAACTTTGAGGTCAGAAAGATTTTTAAGAACTGAAAATTCAGCTTTGCCATCATAAATAACATTTTATACTATATTAAAATAGATGATAACAGTTGTAATCATTTTTACTATACTTTTGATCAAATAAATGCAGCCTTGGTGAGCATGAGAAACTTCTTTTAAGAACATTTCAAAATCTTATCGACCCCAAACTTTTAAAAGGTACTGTATGTGGTGTTATATCTTTATGTCTAATTATTTAAATATGGGAGAATCACTATCTATTACAAATTCTAAATACGCAGCTACTGTATACTTCACTGTAAATACAAATAGAAGAGACAACATCTCACCTGTACCAAAGGTAGTGCAGAATAAACCTGAAGGGCCCTGTAAAGACACAATATTTTGATTATTATTCAGTAATCTCTGTACCAAGTTAAGGCAGCAATGCAATTTTTGGGCAATGCAAACCAGTTTATACAGATTTTGGATATATAATCTGTGTGTGTGTGTGTGTGTGTGTGTGTTTAACTAATACTATTAAAAATTGTCTTTGAAATAAAACTGAAAATATAAATTTCAGATTGAAAAAAAAGAAAACTGTTGCCTTGGCAACTAACCAAAATAAATACATACTAATGTACTAAAAATGTATCAAAGTAAATGAGTGCTAAAGTTATAAAAATGCTAAAGCTATATAAAATCATTTTTAAAAAATTAACTATTAAAAATGCTAAAGGCACATAAAAATGACTAAAACTTACCCTAAAACTCAAATTAAAACAGAATATGTTAATAAAAAAACACTAATTCAGAACTATAATTATATATAAATGACACTATAACATGAATATAATGAGCAAATCATCTAAAAACGGCAAAACAAGGCATCATTTGAATAGAAAGTTGTTATTGTTGTTGTATTAAAAACTGAAGTGCATAAGTAGATCAAATATTTCTCATGTGTAAAAACAAACGTATCCCCAGAATCCCCATTTAAAACACAAATAATCTGACATAAGTAGATTTATAAACAACTTAGTTTGGACTAAAATCACTAAATAAGATGCGATTAGAATCAAGTCTTGTATTATTCAGATGGAGTTTATTTTATCTTGAGTAAACACGTCTGCCAAATAAACATACTCATGCTGAAACACTGTTCTCTGCAAATCTGATTGGGAAAGAAACATGTGAGCTGCCTACCCTAGAAATTACAGTCACGTTTTACCTTACTTCTGAGACATATTCTGTTTGCATTAATAAACATGGCATCTTGCAAACATTTTCAAATGTGCTGCATCTCATTTCTGCACTTCCTACCAGTTACTGCCTTTGCAACGAGTGAAGAGTTGTGTTCCTTCAGTCCACGCAGCTGAAAATAAAACACAAACAAACACGAAGTCTATTAATAATATCATAGACTGTTTTTATCAGCTGTCATCAGGCTGTTAAATGAATAGTTCTGAACTTGAACCCGCTCCTCAAAACTGCAGCTGGTGATTATAATCGACAATATACAGAAAAAAAGAATATATGACGAGTTGTAAATCATAATAATGATATTTATTACACAATCATATTTACAAGTAAATAAATCCTGGATGATGATGAACTTGAATACGTGGCTCAAAATAACTTGCACATAACTGATCTGCTTAAATACACGTAATATTTTAATATCGGGTGCAAATGATCATTTGGTTAAAGAAAGCGCGTATATTTCGACAAACCTACGTATCTGTTTCGGGCGGCCATTCTGTGTTAATAAGTAAATCATGTAAAATATTCTCCTCTTCGTCTTCTAGAATAATATCACCTGCCATGTTTTCAATGAACTGGACTGCGCCCACATCACACTACGGCGGTCTGCGAGGTACATATGAAGGGACCGCTGATCTTTTAAAAAATTCCGACTAATTATTTATAGGTTGTTTTCCATAACTAAAACGTAGTTTTAATATTTTTGTCGCTATAGGTGGTGAAATAAAGTTTTTTTTTATCTCTTTTGTCCATAAAAAAACAAGACCGACGGATTTCTCTCTCCTTTCAAATCCCGCTTAAGAGGGCTGAGGGAGGACGGAGGAGCTGAACACGCAGCGCCGGATGAAGCTCTATGAAGACTCTAAGCGGGTACAAGAATCAAGGGTGTTTGTATGTGGGTTGCTAGGTTAATCAGGAGATTGTAGATAGAGTGTCAATGGTCCATTTGAGATATAGGTGGCGGTAATGCACTTATAATTCTCCAATCCGCCGTAAAGCAACAAGAAGAAGAAGAAGAAGAAGAACTGAAGTGCGAAGGCGCGATCCACACGGACCGTTTTTTTCTACGCAGCACTCTATCAGAACCAGCACAGTGAGCTCACGTTACATCCGGTGGAGAGACTCGCAGGAGTTTGACACCATGGCAGCGTTCGGCGGTGAGATTTACCTGTCAACATTTCAGTAAAACTATCAGAATATGTAACGTTATTTCGTTATTATATATTGAGTGTGGTTAAACTATTTGCGATCTTGATATCTTGTCGTTTTGAATTATAGAAATGGGAGTGATGCCTGAAATTGCACAGGCGGTGGAAGAAATGGACTGGCTGTGAGTTAGACCGTCTCTAATAGTTATTAATATACACATAATAGATGTATTAACAAGTTAGTTATCTGTGCATTATTAAAGTAGTTAAAGGGTTGATCCTCTCTTTCAGGTTGCCAACAGACATTCAGGCCGAATCCATTCCACTGATTCTGGGCGGAGGAGACGTGCTCATGGTGAGATAACTATCCTGTGTGTGTGTGTGTGTGTGTGTGTGTGAATGAGAGAGAGAGAGAGAGATCACCACCTCTGTGCTCACTTGTGTATTTATGTTCACAGGCTGCTGAGACTGGGAGCGGAAAAACTGGAGTAAGTGTGAAGCCATTGATATTAATATGGTTTTTCTGTGACTGTGTACTTTACCATAAAACTGTCACTGTGATGACACGCATCAGGAGCTGTATCTTATATGTAAAGGAGCAGTGAAATGTAATCACAAAATCAATGTGGTCTTGTAGGCCTTCAGTATTCCAGTCATCCAAATAGTCTATGAGACCCTTAAAGACCAGCAGGAGGGGAAGAAGGGACGCAGTGCTGTAAAGACAGGAGGAGCAGGTATTGAACCTTCATCTATACATCAGCATTCAACTCATTTATGTATATAGCCGCTTTTAGTTTACATTGATGTTCCATGAGTAAGAATTATTATAGTGTGACCATACATTACCGTTTTTTTCTGGGGACAGAACTTCTGGGAACAAAGTTTTTGGTGGCTTGTTTTGAACACACAGTAATAGCACAGTATAATGTTGTTATTGTTAACTAAAAAAAAAAAGCTTTAAAAATAATTTTCACTAATTGTAATAAAGCTAAAATAAAATATAAATATTAGATTAAAAAATGTAACTTAAAAAAAACTTAAAGTACAAATGTTGTCTTGGCATCTAATTTAAATAGTTGATGTACTGAAATAAATTAAAATTAAAGCTAAATAGAAATAAAATGACAATAGCACACAAAATTATGAAAACAAACTCAAAAAAAAAAATCTAATTCAAAATACTATAATAGTATATACATAATATTTAAATAAGATTCATTCATCAGAAAACAATTATCTAATTTACTTGCTTGCATGAAGTATATTGAGACTGCTATAGCAGATTGTATTTCATAAACTACTTTTGCTGTCAAAAAATGCAAGATCATTTTTGGCTTTGATTTATTGATTGTTCTTTTTGGATTTCTTGTCCATTCCAGTTTTTAATAAATGGCAGATGAACCCCTATGACAGAGGTTCTGCATTTGGTAAGTGTTTAACACTTTCTTGTGAAAGGCCTAATCTGGTTTGATTCTAAACTCTTCATTGTGATTCTGGAAGCTTATTTCCACTTCTTTGTTGCAACAAAATTATTATATTACATTTTTGTTATATAAAAATTGTTTTTTCTCCTTCAGCTATTGGTCCAGATGGCCTGTGCTGTCAGAGCAGAGAGTTCAAAGAGTGGCATGGCTGTCGTTCCACCAAAGCAGTCACAAAAGGTAAGAGAACACTTTTTTGTGTTTCTTTCCAAAACCAAACAATTCCTGGGAAGATTTATTCTGCTTATTTATCTCTAGGGAAGTATTATTATGAAGTAGCCTGTCATGATCAAGGGCTGTGCAGGCTGGGCTGGTCCACTGCCCAGGCATCACTGGACTTGGGTATGTTTTTGTATGACCTCATTATACTGATCTGTTTATGTCATTACTTCTGTAATAATAATAATAATGTTTGGTATTCTATTTTTACCCTCTCTTAGGAACGGACAAATATGGATTTGGCTTTGGGGGAACTGGAAAGAAATCTCACAATAAGCAGTTTGATAGTTACGGAGAGGTAAGGCATGATGAAGGCATTTGATTTGACTCCCAAGTTTTGGTAGATTGACAAGATTTATGCCTTTTCCAGGAGTTCACTATGCACGACACCATCGGATGCTACATAGATCTGGATAAATGCCAAGTGTCATTCTCTAAAAATGGTAAGGCTTGTTTTTAATTTAAGCCTTTGAAATGTTTTAGTGAATAATTCGATTTAATTTAATTGAGCATGTCGTCACACTATGCAGAGCTATGCTAAATTGTCATCAATATTATGTAAAATAATTCATAATATAATTTTATACACTACCTTACCAGGTCAGTAATTTAAGGATGAAATAAAGTGATCAAATATGGCAGTAAAAATATTTTTAGTGTTACAGAACATTTCTATTTCAAATACAAATTCTATTTCAAATGCTTTTTTTATTCATCAAAGAATCCTGAAAAATTGTCACTGTTTACACAAAAATAATAAAATGCAAAACAGTTTCAAATAAAATATGATCAAATACAAGCTGAGCATTGAAGAAAAAATCTCCAAATTTTTGAATAGATAATAAATGTTTGGTACCATAAAACTATTTTTAATATCAGTATATCGTGCAGCCGTAATGCAAATGGAAGCCACTATAACTGATTCCTGTTCGTCTTTCACAGGTAATGATCTGGGTCTGGCTTTTGAGATCCCTCCACAGCTGAAAAACCAGCCCTTCTTTGCTTCCTGTGTGCTGAAGGTATCTGACATATACAAGTCTTGTCGTTGCTACGTAACATTTCTCTTTCAAAACAGCTTTTCTTAAAATGCTTTATGTCAAATGTTTATGTTAATCAAACCCAGAATGCTGAACTGAAATTCAACTTTGGTGATGAACCTTTCAAAAACCAACCTAAAGATGGATACGTGGCCGTGAACCAGGCTTCAGACGGTCATGTGGTCAAATCCAGCCAGACAGGTGAGCTTCAAACCACATTCATTTTTCGCTGCCTGCAGGGCTTGTATTAATGTTTCCTTGCATTCTGTCCGTCATGTGTATTTGTCCTCAGGAAGTGCTAAAGTGAGTCAGGTCAAATCCATTTCTAACGCCCCCAGAGCTCTCATCATTGAGCCGTCTAAAGAGCTGGCTGAACAAACCCTCAATAATGTCAACCAGTTCAAAAAATATGTTGATAACCCCAAACTGAGGTGAGCTGAGAGTAACGGAGGAGCTGCAGTGAGTTTCATAATTGTAGTGTCTGTTGAGAGGGTTTGGAGTTAACTGAACATCATGATGTTTTTGCAGGGATCTTCTGATCATTGGAGGAGTGGCTGCTAAAGAACAGCTCTCCATTTTAGAAAGCGGAGTAAGTGTACAAATCTTAAACTGGGGGTCATTGATTGTTTTGTTTTTTTTTATCTCAAAATATTATTTTGTGAAAACATACCAAGTTATCTTTAAAGCTAAAGCTAAATTAAATAAACATTAATGTTCAAAAGTTAGGGGTGAAAGATTTTTTAAAGACTTTTATTACTTAATTCTTATATTCAGCAAGGATGCATAGAATTGATCAAAAGTGACTGTAAAGACAATAATATTACAAAATATTTATTTCAAATAGTGCTGTCAAACGATTAATCGTGATTACTCGCTTCCAAAATATGTTTTTGTTTACATAATATGTGTATGTATATATAAATACACACACATGCTGGGGTTGGGCCGATAGTAGGGTTGTGACGGTGAGGAAATTTTCCCACCGGTTAATCAACGTGTGACAACACCGGTAATACCGGTATCACCGTGGGGGCGGGGTGGGGGCGTTCCCTCTTTTCCTAGCTTTCCTTCGCTTTTAAATAGCTTGTAAAAGCGGAGTGCGCATTTTAATTTCACTTTTAAATAGCGGCAATTCGGTGTAAAGCAATTGTTAGTTTAGTTCGTTTGAATTTTCCCTCTTTTCCTCGCTTTCCGTCGCTTTTAAATAGCTTGAAAGCGCCGTGCGCATTTTACTTTCACTTTTGAATTAGCGGCAATTATGCGTCAATTGCTTGAATGCAACAACAAGGCTTAACACCGGTATCACCGTTAGCACCGTCTATCACGGCAAGCCTAGCCGATAGACGATGCTATCTTCCACTGCCGATGGCTGATAGACATCACGATGTTGAGCCGGCATCGTGATAGC